ATAAAGATTATAGTAGAGTCATAGAGAACTGGGAGAGAGTAAAGTGGCCATGATCTCAACAGCTAAGCCCACGCACAGCACAGGCCGAGAGGGCAGGAGAGAGATTTACTGCTAACCAACGCTTATATATCTTTAGGGGTGTGAATGCCCCCTAATTACAGGTAAAGACATATGTCACGGGAAGGGGATGTACAATAGGCAATACAAACAATAGGAGGGAGATATATAATGGGCATAAGTATAACAGGAAGAGGATGAGTTAGGGGTGTACACATAATAGGAAGGGGGCTGACTAGAGGTATACGTGTGACAAGAGGGGTGGACCCTAGATTCATGATGGCGGCCTAACCTGGGTCATCCTTGAGTGGGCCAGACCTCCCTGGGTTCTCCTTCAGGGAAACAATCTACTACTATCCTTATCAGAAGGGGGTGGGCCAGACTACACAGTCTGCTTGCTCTAGATGGCTGATAATCCTTAGGGAGGATAACCTCTGACCTACTTTCGTTGGAGGTCAATCGTTCTCACGCCCAAGCCTGTTGTTACAGCCACTGTGTCAATCCACCTCATTCAGACGCTCTTCTGGCACCCACGTCAATCTTTTCTTCCTTTCCTATCTTTTTAATGACCCTTTGCTTTCTTCGTGTGTGATATTGGGTTTCATTTTCTTCAGCTTCAGTATGAACTTACATGTGAGCGATGGATGGTCTGTTCCACAGTCAGCCCCTGGCATCATTTCAGCTGCTGATATTAAGCTCCTCCGTCATCTCTTCCCACAGATGTAGTCCATTTGGTTTTTGTATGTTGCTCTACATGAATAAAGCTGCATCAAGATTGGAGTCAGCTTTATTAACAACCTTCAGTGTACACATGACACACCTTGCTTGCTGACAGTGAAGAGGATTTGAAGCACCAGCTGAAGATCAAAGATTACAGCCTGCAGCATGGATGACAACTCAATGTCAAGAACGCCAAAACCCTCACAATTGGACCAATAGGTAACATTATGATAAATGGTGGAGAGATTGAATTTGTCAAGGATGTTATCTTGCTTGGATCCACAATCAGCTCTCCTAGAAGCATCAGTCAAGAGATCAAAGAGCATAGTGCATCGGGTGAATCTGCGGCACAAGACTCTTTAAAGTGATGAAAAGCAAAATGTGTTCATTGAGGACTAAGGTGCGCCTGACCCAAGCGAGCATTTTCTTTTTTTTTTTCTTCTTTTTTTTTTAACATTTTATTAGGGGTTCATACAACTGTTATCCCAATCCATTCACACATCAATTGTGTAAAGCGCATTTGTACATCGTTTCTGAAAACATTTTCTCTCCACTTAAACCCCCGACATTAGGTCCTCATTTTTCCCCTCCCTCCCCGTTCCCCCCTCCCTCATGAGCCCTTGATAGTTTATAAATTGGTATTTTGTCATATCTTGCCCTGTCCGACGTCTCCCTTCATCCACTTTTCGGTTGTCTGTCCCCCAGGGAGGAGGTCACACACAGTTCCATGTAATCGGTTCCCTCTTTCCTACCCATTCTCCCTTTACCCTCCCTGTTTTGCTACTCACACCACTGGTCCTATAGGGCTCATCCATCCTGGATTCCCTGTATTTTCAGTTCCTATCTGTACCAGTGTACCTCCTCTGGTCTAGCCAGACTTGCAAGATCGAATTCGAGTCATGGTAGTGGGAGCGGGGAGGAAACATTTAGGAACTAGAGGAAAGTTGTATTTCTCATCATTGTTACATCACACCCTGACTGGCTCATCTCCTCCCTGAGACCCCTCTGCAAGGGGATCTCCAGTGGCCTACTAATGGTCTTTGGATCTCCACTCCGCACTCCCCCCATCATTCACTGTGGTAAGATTTTTGTTCTGATGATGCCTTACACCTGATCCCTTTGACACCTCGTGGTTGCATATGCTGGTGTGCTTCTTCCATGTGGGCTTTGTTGCTTCTGAGCTTGATGGCCACTTGATTACCTTCAAGCCTTTAAGACCCCAGACCCAAGCGAGCATTTTCAATTGCCTCATATGCATGTGAAAGTTGGAGAGATGAGTATAGATGATCAAAGGCATAAATATGATGTGAACACTTAAACTTTTGTCAGTTAATCACCCTCTGATGCATGCTGGGCCCGACCTGGTGTTCAACATTTTCTGTATTGGGTTTGGTTTGGGTTTGGTTTGCTCATATTAGGGAGTACCTCAGAGGTATTATATCATCGTGTTAGGTAGCTAGAGACAGGGACAGGGGGTTGTCCCTTAGGAAGGATTCAGGCAACCATTAAAAACCTATGAAGACCCTGGAACTGGGCATGCTCAAATTCAGGTCCCAAGTCAGGTGGGCAGTACACCTGGGCGGCCCACACTAGGCCTGGACCCAGCACATCACCCAGGTGAGCTTAATTCAGCCAATGGGGTCAACCAATACCTTCAATCACGCCTCCCCAGCCAGAGTTTGAAATACTCTGGTGGCAGGAAGACCGGTCTCTTTTTA